GGCAAAATTAATATTTCATTTTCCATCAGCCCCCCCTCAAATGTTTGAGGTGGCTTTGGTGTAGAAGGTAAAAGCTACATAGGGTCAAGACTAATGATGGGGAGCTTTTTTTTTAAAGTGTGTGGGTTTTTTTTGTTTTTGTTTTTTTTTTGGCTTCAGCGATATTTTAGCAAACCATCCTCATTGGTCATCTTTAGACTGTTCTAACATGCAAATGAAGCTTAGGTTTCCACCTAGAAAGCCTTAGGAGTTTTGGTTGGGCTCTTTGCACATGACTGTAAGGTCTGGAGTGAATCTGTCCAGCTGTTTAATTAAAAGGGGGCTCAGATGGTCCAAACAGTACAGCTCAGGCCCCAGCACAGCTCTGAGCAGGAGGAGGCAGCTAGGTGCCCATGCTCTCGCCCTCATGCCAGACCATTAAAGCTACCCAAGTCTCTGCAGGGAGATCAGCCACCTCTGCCCAGCCCCTGCCCGGCACAGAGGGGTGGTTCGGTTGTGCGTACTCTTCAATGTCAGCAGCCACAAAGCCTCACAGAAGCTGCGTGTCAATAGCTCTTTGGTGTCTTCTGTGATCTTTGTGGCTCCTGCTAACTCCCCCAAATGCACAGAGCTGGGCTTTTTGCCAGGAATTTGGTTTTGGAGGTTTTGCAGTAAAGGATTGGAAAACAGCTTAGCCCAGCTCCCCATGGCTAATGTTAAGGAGATGTGCTGGGTACAGCAGCTCCCAGTATCTTCTGACAACATCCTTCTCCATCTCTAGAGCTTCTCGCATCTCTCTTTACCCTCTCGGTACCCTCAGGCTTCTCTGAGGAAGAGGTAGGCTGGAATGCCTCTGCAATAGTGCCTGGGTCGCACTCCCAGCAACATCTCTCATGGGTTGAAGACAAAAAAAAAAGAAAAAAATAAAAAACTATGTGCCATATTTCTGATTGCCCGCCCTCTCCCCACCCTTCCCGAGCAGTGCTGGAACACAGGCTGGGACATAGATCTCCCCTCACAAGCTGGGGAAAGCTGCGTAGCCTTCAGAGACAAACCAACGGAAAAAGCAAAGATTAATTTTGACTGGCCCCTAGATCTGTTGAGGTCTGAAACTGTAAAAGTTTATGTAAACAATGAGATAAATATATTAGTACTTTTCTGAGCCAAGTGAGGTTCCATACTCATTCAAATGTGCTTTGGTTTAAAAAATAGTTTTGTGAATTTGGGTATGAGCTTCTTTATTCTTTTATACAACTTTTGCTATTTTATCTTTTCTTTTCCTGTTATTCCGAAAACATTCTGGAACTAAGTGACTAAAGCATATACGTAAGCTGCCTGGCCTCTTTTTTTTTTGTTTTTTGTTTGTTTTAAAATTGTTTTATTCCTCTTGAGGCTCTTTGTGTATTAAAAAAAAAATTAAAATTAAAATAAAAAAAAACAAAGATGCAACTCCCTCCCCCCCAACCCTAAAACTCTTAAAATCTTAAATATGAAACTAGTGTTTTGCTTTCTCATTAAAATACAGAAAAATGTTTGATACAATACTATGTCGTACAAATGCAGTTGAGTGTTCAGGCCCCAAGCAGGCCTGAAACAGTCCCTGAAGTTTTGAGTATTATTAGTTATTCATTATTACTGTCACAATTTGGAAAATGTTGTTTATACTCAATCTATGGAACACAACTTTACACAGCTACTTGAAAAAAGAACAAAATTTCCTTTTGTACAATACTCTTGCTGTACACAGACTTTATGTCGTATTGGTTAAGTGCTGGGGAGGGGATAAAGTAAAAAAAAGATACTGTGAAAAAAACTTTTTAAAAACAGCATTGGGTCCTGAAACTTCAACATGATTCTTGAGGCTTAAGAAGTAAGTGAAGAGGGGGCCTGGGGGCAGGAGGAGAGGCTACATCACCCACGCGCATGCTTGTAAAAATGGAATTCAGTGAGAGGGAGCCGGTTATTTGCCCACTGAGGAGCTCACTGCTTCCTCGCACCTTGGGCTGCTCCATGGCTTGGCTCAGTTGGTCACTGCTTGAGCTGCTGTCCCAAGGTTGGCTTCTGCACGGACACTGGCCTGCTGTCTCCATCGCTGGCCATGTGCCACAGTGGTGGCGGACCCATCTCAGTAAACTGCGGGGCCACAAGTGAATGGGGGAAACCCGCGTCCAAAACCCACAGCGGGGGACAGGGCTCACCCCCCGCCGTGCCCTTCTCACGAACGGAGCGAAAAATTGTTTTGAAAATCTGGACTCGATGGGTCCTTAGCCAGCTAGCAGCAAGGGGAGCCTGATCTGGCCGCAGCCTAAGCCAGCGTGGGATTCAGTTCAGGTTTAGGATGGTTGGAGGAAGGTAAAGGCAGGGTGAAAGTGCCTAGGAACTAATCTTGCACAGCTGTCCCTGGGCCCTGCTGAGAAAAAGGTAGATGGCAAGGCCTTCCCTGTCCTCCCCAAAGATTATTTTGGGGACATTCTTGGGGGGGTCGGCAAGGAATCAAGGAGAAAAGAATTCAATATATATTCAAAACGTGGAAGTGCTAAAGACACTAAAAACCTAGTTAACCCCCCAAAAGAAAACAGCGCATCTCGGCACAATGAGGAAAAAACAAAAGTCCATGCTCCCCTCTCACGCTCCACAGCTCGCAGGCGTCTGGGAGCAAGCAGACAATGGCACTGGGAGAAGCACACTGGAGCGCGGCGGGAGAGAGGGGCGAGCGTGTTCCCTGTAACGTGACACCAGGCCAAGGCTCAGCGCCTTTGGGTTGTCTATTGCTTGGAGCCTGGATTCCAGTTTCCTCAGTTCATTCAATTGACCCAAAAACTTCTTATGGACTAGTCTACCTTAACAAAAAAAACAAAACCAAACAAACAAACAAAAAAAACCAACCCAAAAACAAACAAAAAACCACAAAAACAAACAAACAAAAAAAAACCCAATAGAAAATGAAGCTTATATTTCTTTGTTTTAGTCAAACATGCTCACTTTTTTCTTTTTTTTTTTTCTTTTTTGGTCGAAACTTAATTGGTTTTGTTTTTTTAAAAAAGACAAAATGTGAGGTTTGGTAAACCTTACGCATAGAGACTATACTGGTTTGAGTGGAAAAAAAAAACCAAACAAATCAAAAAACACAAGTGTAAACCTTACTCAATGCAGAAGGGATGATTCTACTGGCTGTGAATTTTTACCACCACAGTCACAGGAGGCTTGAAGTAAGCCATAGCTTTCCACAAGGTCACGCCAACAAAGTCAAGAGGGCCAAGAATCGGTGGGCTAAGTTCTCTGTCTTCTCTCCTAAACCAATAGCAGCTGTTGGCTGTGATGTCTTATGCAGATGTTGCAAGAACATTTTGTTTCTTTTTCTTTTCATTTTTCTTTTTTTTTTTTTTTTTTTTTTTTTTTTGTGTGCGTGTGTTAAATTGTCTAAAAGGGAGGATATGAAACACTTTGGTTTGCTTTTTCCTCCTCTCCCCCACCTTATTGCACTCTGGATTCTAGTAAATTATAGGCTGCTATGCCCTCACCCTCTGTCCTGCCAGGTGTTTACAGACTGACCCAGATGTGCTGGGGGAGTGGAAGATGAGGGGGACATTTTCCCCTCCCCATAGTATCCAGATTCAATAAACAAAGCTGGAAAGGGCCCAGAAAGCTCAGAGAAGTTTTCTTCTTTTATCTAAAAGTGACTATAAAGAGCCAAGAGACTGTGAATGAGCCAGTCCAAGCAGCCAGCACAGCCCCTGGCTCAACATATTTTTTGCTTTGTCTTTGGCCAAGCTTTGCTTTAACATTTCTCTAGCTGACTTTTGATGGAAGGACGGGGTGGTAAAAATCCCTTAACTTTAATTTAGCTTCTACTTTTATACATTTAATTACTTACAATAAGAGAAAAAAAAAGCCTAATCTTTCACTAACCATCTTATTGTTCTCATGAATTCAAGAGGTAGCAAAGGTAACGAGTCTGTCAACACAGACTCGCTCTTTAGTGAGGGAGGAAAGCTAAAAACATACACACACACAAAAAATAAAATAAAAAATAATAAAAAAGTACCTAAGGAACTTGTAGCAAGTCCAGCCTACATCAAACCCCCTCCCCGCCCACCCACCCTAGAATTAACCTCAGACCTTCCAGTTCAAACATTCACATAAACGTTACAATGGGTTTTCCTTTAATAAAACAAGTACCTCTAAGCAAAGAATATTCATACGAAACTACTAGAAAAGTAAAGACGACCCCCTGCTCACTGAAAGAAATTCCCAGGGCATCCAGTCCCTGTTCAGTCATGGGTAAGGCAGAAGAGGTTTGTGTGTTTCGTGGGAAAAGGTGGCGTGTGGTTACGTGTGCCAAGGATAAAGATCAAAACCAAAAGAAGGAGGGATGGTGAGGAAGCATTGCCATTTCTTTAAGGGAAGCACTCTGGCTGGTGCACACCTAGGTAGACTGCTCTCCCCACCATCGCCAGCCCGGGGGAAGGGTGGTGGTTCCACCATGGCTATGGCTTTCCCACGGTATCCAAAGGGGCTGTCAACCCTGTGAGATGGTCCACAGACACAGCTTCTGCGCTTGTGAATGCAATACTATGTTATTTCATAGCTACTTAGGCCACTGGAAAGGTGTGATTCATTTTGTTTTTAATGGCAAGAAATGCCCCTACTGAGTTTGGTTTTAAGAGAAGAGGTGAGTAGGGTGACAGCAACACAAAGGAAAGAGGGAAGGAGGGGGGGATCCAGCAGAGGCTGAAAGCTCCCCATGGTCCCCCTACCTGCTCCAGATGATCAATATGGCAATGAAGTCAATGTGTGCAAAAAAAGTGGCATTTCTTGCCAGATCACCAAGATTTGGAGGGAAGAGTTGGACTAAATGCATCAGCTTGGCTGTGGACCTTTCTTTTTTTAAAAAAAGGGAAAAAAGGAACTTTTTTTTTTTTAAATGTTAAAGCTACATTTGTTTAGGCCTCCCATGATTGAACAGAGTATGGGGAGTTGCCCCCTTTTTTGTTTGTTTTTTTTTTTTTTTTCTTTTTTCTTTTTTTTTTAAGCAGCAAGTCTACAGAAAGGTAAATCACTGCGGATGGGCTCGAAGCTCATTCTGGAGTCTTTGGCTTATGTGGGAGAGGTATGCATTCGCAGGTGGCTGATCAGATTGCGCTGCTGGGTGAATTTCCCACCACACAGTTGACATTCGTAAGGTTTTTCTCCTGAGTGGACACGCATATGCTCTGTCAGTCGGTACTGCCGGGTAAAGCGCATCCCGCATTCCTCGCAAGCAAAGGGCTTGAGCCCTAAGTGGCTGCGCATGTGCCGTGTCATGGTGCCCCGCTGTGTGAACATCTTGCCGCAGATGTTGCAAGGGAAGGGCCGCGTCAGCCAGTGAGTCTTCTCATGCTGCCGCAGCGTGGCTGGATCCTTGTAGCTCTTCTCACACACTGAACACTTGAAGGGCCGGGACTCTGCGGCATAGGGCTGGTTGGGGTTGGACAAATCCTCGGCTTCATCCTTGCCACCATACGTGCCTTCCTCCTTGATGTAAAGGTCTTCCTCGGTGTGCGTCTCCACATGGGCATTGAGCTGTTCGGAGCTGGGGAAGCCTTTGCCACAGGGGATACAGACATACAGGTTGTCACCGTAGGCCACTGGCTCAAACCCCTCCTGCCGGTAGACATAGTTGGCACTAGTATGCCCGCCGCTCTCGCTCTCACTCTGGCCACTGTCGTCACTGTTCTCCTTGCCATTTTCCACCTCCTCCTTACATGGGTAGGGTAGGTCTGCACCGTAGGCCCCGGCCAGACTCCGCTCCACGGACTTGGACAAGGGCCCCAGCAGGATACCGTTGGGCAGCCCTTCGCCCTCGTCCCTGTCTTTGCCCCCCTCCTTTCGGTCAAAGGCATTGTCTTTCTTGATCCACTCCTTCTTGCGGGACGAGTGCCGGAGGCCCTTGCGCTGGCTGCTCTCCGTCAATGAGTGTTGGCACTCTTCGCTCAGATCCATTTCCATGGGGTCGCTGCTGTCCGCCATGCTGTGAGGGGCTCCGACTCCAGACTCGTCGAACGATGAGGCACTGTTGGCTGCAGGGGCTGAGGCAGATTGGGGAGAGCCATGCTGGCTTTCGCTGTGCTGCGTGTCATCATGGGAGGCTGCAACAGGGAGCGACGGGCTTTTTTTGGACAGGTCGAGGCCTAGCTCCTGGTCGCCAGTGCTCCCATTCGCACTGCTGCCCCCACCACTGTTCTTACTGGCTCCCCTGCTTAAGGAGTGACAGTTCTCTTGGTTGGAGCTGCTGATGAAGACCTCGTCATCGGAGAGCTTTCCCTTTGACAGCTCCTTTGAGTGCGAGCCCTTCAACCCCTCATTTGACCCTGAATAGCGAGCTTGGATGACCGAAGCAGTGGAAAGTCTCTGACTCCTGGCAGATCTCCCAACACCAAGGCCACCAGCCTTGCCAGCAAAGGACTTGCCATTCCGCTTCAGCTTCTTTCTGCAGAGAGCTGCCAGGTCGTGCAGTTGGAGGTAGCTTGCTGCGGTGAGGAGAGCATTGAAGTTCTGTTCACCAGGCTGGTCAGTCGTTAAGAGCTTACCAGTATAAATAAAGTCCAAGATCTGCCGGAACACGGTGGGGTTCACCATGTCTGTGTCTAAGTTAATCAGGTTGTCATGCAGGACAAGGGATTTGAAATACATGCTGCTGGCTGCCAGGATGTTCTTATGCGCACGAAACAGGGCATTTTCTACCACAATGATCACATCACAGAGGAAACCTTTGGCTCGTTGCTGGTTCAGCTGCAGTAGCAGTTGTTTGGCATGATTTGGCAGTTCCATCTCCACCTTCTCTTCCTTTCACCTTCACCTTACCACCTGCAAAACAGGAGGATGAGAGGTGTGAACCCGCTGTTTCCACTTGAACAAGCCTACATTTGATAGACTGGCTTAACACGGTGCAGTCTATGTTAGGCTTGACACTGACTAAGGAGCTCTGGGTACGTTCAGCACTGCAAGCTCTGATCCTGCTTGGAATACAGAGAGAAGTATTTCTCGTGCTAAGGTTTGATTCAAGACCTTCAAAAATCAGATTTGTAAATATCTTTTTACAAAAGCAATCGTCATTGGCTGGAATTACTATTGAAAAGATACCAGCAGGAAAACAATAGTTAGGTACAGGGAAAGCTGTTTCCCTCTCCTGACACAAATCTGAAGAGACGATGAGGAGCAAGAAAAAAAGGAAGAAAAAAGAAGCATCCACTTCACTGCCATTTGCATATCTGAGCATGTAAAATAATTAGCAGAAGCTGCAGCTTCCATGCTTTAACATGTAGTTTGTTTCTTGGCTCTTACATGTTGAAATCTTAAAAGCACCCAGCTGCTCTGGGGTTGAGAAAATGACATGTAGCAACTAAATCCATTGAAGACGGAATTAATCACACTGAGGTGTGAATGGGAGATCTCCTTAAGAGTATGAAAGGCTGCTTTAAAAACCAGCCCCCTGGCAATGTCCCTCTCCCGATCCATTGACATGAAGGGCTGGAATCAACCCTGAACTGGCTGAAATTCAGGGTGCTGAGCTAGCTAAACGCTACCAAATGTCTTCAACAATCTGAAACCATTTTCTTAAGTTAATTCTGCCCTGCCTTTAGTTCTGAAGGAATTTTGTTAAAACTGATAGAGTCAAGTAACCTATCTCAAGTCACAGTCTCTCTACCCTGAAGTATTGGGAAGAGAGGAAAATTGCGGTTACGTCTGTGTAGTTCATGTATTTCACATCACAGCCATCTTTAGCCTTCCACTTCCTACCTTCCTTTCCCAGTTGATCTTATTACTGAAACAGATTTCTCTTACTGAAGGAGGAGCAGGCCATAAATCCATAGAAATTAAGAGCTTAAATTTTCTCTTAAAATCATCATCAGTTAATGTTTTTATTCCTTCTGAGTCCCATTACTGCATTCTGTCCCATCAGATTTCAAACGATGAAGCATTAGACTGCATTATCTTCCCTCTGTGTCATCTATGTGTATGCAAGGAAAAAAAAATAAGGAGCGATACTGTCAATATTAAAAATAACCTCCCTCAATCCTGATTCTCACTAACTGGTGATGAATAGAAAGACTTAATTTGGCAGAAAGGTGGTAAATTTACATCATCCATTTCTGCACAACAAAAAGGTTTTGCTTTATGAAAAAAGCTACCAAAAAGTAAACAAATACAATTTTCCCTCCCAATTTTGCTGCCTGCTACTAGCCTGGTACTTATACTTTTACCAACAGATCTGCCAAGCAGGTACCTCCCTTCTTCCACAGGACACATTTCTTCACTTGGTTAGCTGGTCAGCCTGGTACTTGGTTGCGTATTTGGGAGAATTGTGTGGCCCCTGTTCAGTGCACCAGCACCTAATTCCGCATCCACGCAGATCTCGGTGGCTCGTCACCCTGACCCACAGCTAAAATGGCTGCTCTGCTTTTCTGTTCTATATTGTTTCAGCAATGGATGGGAACCCAAGAAGATGGTGGGTTCACCACTGTGCCTTTGTGCACATTAACGTTGTTCCTGTTGTTCCCAGAGGTGGCTGGCTTTAGAAAGGGTGGCAGCCAAAAGGAGGAAATACAGGCTTTGCCATGGTGCCATGGTTATTTCTTCTCCAGCTATAGTGTTTCTGTCACAGAAACTCACCCTGCAGCATCACAAAAACGTGATAGAGACAGGGATTACCACCACTGAACAGTGTTGAGCACTTTAAAAACAAGTTTTGCTGTAATTAGTTACATCAGAGTTGCAGCATGCAGGCAATGTGTCTGGTTCTAGTGGCTTGCTTCCAGAATTGCTGATTAAGAGGAAGAAGCAACAGCACAGAGGCACTAAATACCCACTTTTATCTAGCCAGGCCAGTAAAAGCACTTACTTCTGGGTCACTGAGATATATTGATAGGGAAGGACAAAAACATGGCTTGCAACATAACACAGCATCTATATATATAAATGCATCCTGCTCAAGAATAGCAGGAGACAGCCTACTACTACACTGTTTTCACTACAAACGTAATGGTGTTTCTCCATGCACAAAATCCCTGGAATGATTTTTAAGTGTTCCATAAAGGACAAATACGGGAAAGGAAAGGAAACAGCACAGCCAATATTTTTTGCCTAAACAGACTAATAAAAAAAAGTACGTTACTGAAGTAAAAGCGAGCTTATTTCCCATTCATGTGGCACTTGAAGCAGAGGTCTAGAAATCTCTGTATACGTGTTTATGTGAGCTTTTGCAAAGAGTCAAGGCTTGTTGCAGCTACTAATGGGAAATATTTTTTGATTTTTACTTTTTTTTTTTTTTTTCTTTCTGCCTTAAATGATATTGAAACCAGGTAATGAGCTTGCAGGGAAAGCCCTGGAAACAGGGGTAGAATTATAGTTCTGCTTTTTACTGACCTTCATGAGGAAGATAATTTTATTATTAAACCCCAGTATGTTCTGCAGCATAAAAATTAGCATGGTACAAGTTGTTTAAATTATCTTTATTTATCTCATATGTCAAATTTTACAGAAGTACTCATGTTCAGTAGGACATTAAGTATGAGGTAGGTTATTACCTTTAGTAGATTTTAAAAGCAGTGGTCAGGTTTAAGCACTATAACACTGCCTATCAAATGTGAATTTGTTAGCTGAAGTCTAACATGGATTTAGCAACCCCAACAAAATGAGTGTAATGGAACAAGGCAGCAAAACCTTCAGCCAAGTTTGGAGCCCCATGTTTAAGATTTTGCCAGAATTGCCCACCAAGGGCTTTTACCAGGACAGCAACATGGGTCAGAGAACACACCTTTGACTGACATACCTTTGCTGGCATCAGCCTGACTTGTGTATCTATCTTGTGCAGTCCTGAACAAAAATAAATCCATTCCAGATATTTTCCAGAGCTGACCAGTTACAAACCCTTTGTTAGCAATGATGCATTACAGAGGTGGGGGAAGAGGGGTGTGTTGGAAAACTTGTTAGCGAAAGAGAAGCAGGCATTATTCCTTAATCTATGGCATTCCTAAGCTCTCACTTCTAGCTGAAAGCGTGGGACCAAAGACAACTACGAGGTTGTATAAAAGTTAGCAGATCTTCCCAACAAATGGCAGGTGCAGCCTTACAAAGGCCTTGCTATCAATTAGTTTGCAGAGACTGGCTCTTAAGAAACCCTGAACATTTGGATAACATCACCACCACCAATAACGACAACAAAAGCCCCAAAAAGCCCTGAAAAATCACAGTGGTTTATGTTTCTTGTATCTCAGTATCATTTTTAAGAACTCTTCCTTTTCTGTTTTCTGCAAAAAGATAGAAAAAACATACTCCCAGTTGAGAGGAGCCCTGGCTCAGAAAAGGCTCAGATGCATTTCTAGGAAAAAAATCAACCCCCAGACCTCAAGAATATGTAGATGTCTCACTGGGGCCACAGTTTTTATCATTGAATTTGGCGTGCAAAATTTCACTCCTTTGCATTTAAAACAGGATTGCAGAAGGCTCTGGACAAATAGCATTAGAGATGGTCTTTTTTCAGATTCAGGTTGCTTCCTAGTAATTCAAGACACACAGTTTTCAGAGCAATGAACCTGCTCAAATATTCTTGTGTAAGTAGGGAATGAGGCTCTCCACGACCTCTACCATGACACTGAGACACAGCACATGCAAAGACATGAAAATACAGGGCACAAATCACAGAATACAGTAATGCTGCAAGCAGATGCCACACATCAAACAAAGCTTCGCGAGCTAAGAGCTGATAGCATCTTCATAAGCAATATTGCCCAAGGAGCTGGGTAACTGTGAGCTGCTGTGCCCAGCCTGGGGCACCCTGTGGGCATGAAGATTGTGCAGAACACACAGACTGCTCCAGGAGCTGCGCGGCTCTCACTACAAAGCAGGAAAAACTTAATTTTCTCTCAATTTCCACAAAGACTCTGGAAGTCACAGAAAATTAGATTGCCAAAGTACAGGAGAACAGGAATCCCTTCACCCCTTTAAATAGTATAAAATCTACATATTCACTACAGATTTGATTCTCTTTAGTATAACTAAATCTCTTCCTAAAAGTAATTGCTGAATGAATGCTAAATGTGTTATCTTAGCAACCTCTGGCAGGAGATGCTATTTGATTTAATCTCTGAGTTATAGATTGCAGCATATGAATATTGTTTACCTTTTAAGAAGCAACACCAGTGAAGCAAAGAATCAATCAAAAACAGATCTAAGGAATCACTCATTTCACGTAGAGGATTTGTGGATGGATGAGAAGGCTAGACACCGAGCACCTGAACAGTGAACTAACAGTACTGCAGATAAAAACCAACAAACAGATTAGATGTGATGTATCAAATTAGATGCCATTAAAGCATTAGCCTACTGTGCATGTTATAATATACCTAGGGAAAGATAGCGGCCTGCTTACTTATGTCTCCACCTTCCCAAGCAGTTGTGCTGCACTGAGCAGACACTGCAGCAGTAAGCACGGGGAAGAACAAGGCAAAATTAAATCAGTTGTCTCCTACGTTGCTTTTTTCCACCAATTTACTTCTGACATTAAAAATGCTATGTCCAGCTGCTACTGGATCTGGGTGAAACTGAAACAGATGACTTCTGCACCCTGCAGTTTCAGATGAACTAACTTTTTTAGAGCACTTGAAGACTCCACTGGGAAGAAAGCTTTCCTTTTGCTCACTGGCTCATCTGGTCTTCCTCTCCCCACATCCCAACAGAACCTGTTCCCAGGACTCTCCCCAGGTACAGGTGAGGTGGGCTTTCATGGCCACTAACCTTCCCCCCAGGAGCTGCAGTTGGCAGGTCATTAGCCCATGCCTTGTAAAGGTATTCGCATTCCAGAGCAGCAGAGGCATAGGGGAGGAATGCAGGAACTGTGATAGCCCAAATGGTTCCCTATCCCTAGCCCCTGTGAGCACGCAGACAGCAGAGCTCAGAAACAGGCAAGAACATGCATTTTCATCACTGGCAGTGGAGCAGCAAAAGCTCTGTGAGGTGGGCTCAAGCAGAAAACAGGGTGCAGCACCCTTGTTGGTCCTCACAGGAATATATCTCATTTCAAAATAGACCAACATGTCAAGTTATTCAGGGAGAGGTCTGCAAAGCTGGGGAAGAGAGAGAAAGCGACATGCAGGACAGAGCAGGATGTGCAGCTCATGTTGCAATTGCAGGTGTGGACATGGAAAGGAGAAGGAGAACGGAGGATCATTTGAAGAGGATACCACATCAGCAGACTTAAAGTGGCCCTTGTTTAGTTTGTTACGTTCCAGTTAGTGCCAGGCAGAACTGCCCTCCTGGCTCCCTGAAGCAGCTCTTGCAAGACTCCCACAGAAACAGTATAGCTTTGCTTATGGACACAAGCACCTATTCGGTACTTCTGTGCGGCAATGTTTGGACATTAGGTACGTGGGCAATACATGCTCAACTGCTAGCAGCTCCTGGCCCAAAAAGGAGAGAAGGAAAAGAGTCAGATGATTTCCCCAGCCCCTTCTCCTTCCTGTTCTAGGATAACAAGGAGAGCCCAACATGGCTAGGCCCTTTTCTACTGCATGGCAAACTGCCCAGGGAAGGGGAATCTCCATGGGTGAAAAGGGTAGGGGCCCTGTGTACATGAAAGCACTAACATCAGGAGAGCAAAGTGATTTCCAGTTAGTGCAAGGCTGCAGCAAAGCAGGAACACCTTGCTGTACAAGCTGAGACTACGAGCAGTAGAATGCAGATGAACCACTTGATTGCCGCTTACCATGCCAGGTACATTGGGCTAAAGGCACCTCCATCCAGTGCTGCCCGACGTGCCAGGTACATCCCATGATGTTCCATTGAAATCACAACAGGCCATCAATAGAACGTGGCTGCACGGATGCAGAATGGAGAACCAGCAGGGACGCTGTTAAATGCAATTAAAAAACTGCAATCAAAATTGAAACGTACATTTTAAAACGGCCACCTGCCTTAAATATGTAACTACTAGAACCTCCTCCCCTCCACCCATCTCCCCAGAACTGCTGAACTGCGACAGAAACAGAGCAGAAGGCCTCTGCAGGTTTCTTGATGACTCTCTCTGGCCACCTCCATTCAGGACTCCCAACGGCACTGAGCTTCAGAGGGACCAGTCCATATTTATCCAAGAACAGCAGATCCCAGGATGTCTGCACCAGCTTCCTTCTGCCCAGGAATTCAGGCAACTAAGTATCACCATTTAGGAATGCCTCTACACGAGAAAAGCCTGGCAGCAGAGCTTCATGGTCTCGTTCCCCCCACAGTACAGGCAATGGAAGAAACACTTAAATGCTGATCCTCTGTGTTGTCCCCATTTTCCTGTCCCCCTTCCCAAGCCTTTGAAATCTTGCTCTTCTAGAGATGTTATGGCATTGGGCCAGGCTGGGTCTTTTGGCTTTTGTTACAACTCTGGTGCAAGATGGGAAAAGAAAGTACCGTATACACTCTCCTATTTATAATGATGCTTCACTGGTAATTTAATCTACGTTCTTGGAGACTGGAGATCAAATTGATTCATGGTGAACTGCAGTTGGTACAAGAGTCGCAAAACTGAAGATCTATAATTCCACCCTTCCCTGCCCAAAGGAAAAAGCAATAACATCTTTTCCATGCCAGGGAAAGGCACATCCCACAGGCACACAGCTTGTCAAGCCTAGAGTATTCTCTGCAGCGCGTATCCTCCTTTCCCCAGAGTTTCCATCATCAGCTCCGGCAGGGTTATCAAGGGTAGATGCTAATAAGCACAGGTCCCTCTCTACAAGTGGTGATGCTGCCCCAGTGAAAAAAAACAAACAAACAAACGAAAAAACCAGAACAGAAATAAGCCTGCAGCCTCACAGGGATTTAAAATAGGTTTTTAGACCCTCATGACAAAGGGAAACTTCTGCATAGCTCTTGTCGCATTGATGGCTGCATGTCTCCAGCTGTGCTGCTGGAGATAGAAATCTTACATTTGAAAAGTTAGAAGAATATTGATTTTAATTTCAACCATAAAAGATAGAAGGCCAAATGAAGAAGACTTAAAATTATTAATGTAGTTGGACGAGAGAGAACGTAAAGGAGGACGCTGGCCTGGCAAATAGAAAGTGTCTTCATGAAAAGGACGCTGAGTGTAAGGCGATAGTTCTTCATTCTTCCTGGGCATCTGCTGGGCTCGGGCCCAAGACAGCGTTCCCATCGTTCCCACCTGCATTCTTATCCCCACAATTCTGTAACTAAATCCCTTTCACACTGAGCTAATAGGTCTTTTGGATTCAGATCGCCCTGTTTTGACTGCTATAGACTGAAGATTTTTAAATCTTGTCAATACAATGAAGTGAAATGTAAGCAAGTGTTTGCTTACTGACCTGGGCTATGCTGAGCCAAGAGCATTTACTGAACTAGCCTGAACAGACCGCTGCCAGCATGAACAGGCCAACCCCCATTTCGATGGCGTGCAGCTTTAAGCGTAACAGGCCAGAGCCCCGGGGATTTGGAGCTCCCCCCTCTCCAACAGACGACACGCTCTAGACTAGACTGCATACGAGCAACATGTTACTGGCTGCATCTGCCAGCATCAGGACTCTGCAAAACACTCAGCAATACCAGCAATACTCAGCTTAAGAAAAGCTGAATGCTTCATAAAGGTATTTCTTGGACAGGTTTCCAGACAGCAGCTCAAATGCAGATTTACACCCAGATTACATCAATTTGCTTCTTGCTACTGTGAAGCAAGAAGCTCTTCTCCATCGTTGTATTTCCCCTCTAGGGCAGAGATTAGCAGAGAACTGCTTAAAACAAAGGTGTTTCCTACTGTTAGAACATGACACTGCAGTCAGAAATGAAGCTTCCTGCCAATTCCTAAACAGGGCCCTTGTGTATTACACATTTATTTTCACTGCTGACATGAAGGAGCCTAAGACTACCCAAACCCTTTAGTGGGAGGAGAAGAGAAGAGGCATGGACATTGCAGATCTTGTAAAGCAGAGCCAGGCACTAAAAATTCCTGCATATCTGCAGGGCACAGTTGATCTCAGCAGTGGCACAAAACAAATAAAAGACTCAGAAGCTAGCAGCAGCAATAGATGTTGGGCTCTTCTGCAGCCCTGCAACAACTGAACAAGCTCAGCTCCAACTGTAGCTGCCTTGCAAGTGGTAAAGGCAGCTCTGATGTCCCATGCTAATCTAACGACTCCTTATTGCACTAAAATACCCACATATTCATGGGAGTAGCTCAGCTCACCCAGGAGGAAGGATACCCTCTACCCATCCACCAGTTGAGATCCCTTTGGTATGCAAAATCCCTCTGTTTCCCAGCTACCTTTGAGCCTTGACGTATAGAATTCTCCCTTTACAATGCAAGAATTTAGGACATGACTAAAGGATTGTTGCTACCTCCAGGCTAATCCTAGAGTGTTAGGCAGAATCAACAACCCTATGGATTACATGGAGCGAGAAGATGCTTCTGGTCCTAAAAGCTTGGGACCTGTCCTTCAGTATGGTAGGCCAGAGTTGGCAGGGGGTGCACAGGGCAGCAGCTTCATGCTGGGCATTGCTCTGGGGGCAGGAGCACACAGCACGGTGGGGAAGAAGGAATATTGTGACCCTTTCCCAACTTTTCCCAGCTGTCTTACAGCACCCTCCCAGTTGCAGCACAGCTTTAGGGCTCTGAGTCACCACAGGTACAAGCTGATAGCTGGGTTATGAAATGCAGCAATACTGGAGCAAATGCATGACCTTTCAGCTGTCCCTGCAACTGGGGAGGGATCTCCAGGACAGGGATGAGGCAGGTGGCTATAAGTGTTAAATCCACTAGCGATTGTGACTCAGACCCCTTGGTTACATGGTTTCTTAGAGCAAACAAGGCCTCAGAGTACTGGGAGACATGGGAGAGGGTTTGATAAAGATCCTCCCAATTGTCCTGCTTGTTTTTATTTCTTGTGTGGACTCAGCAAACTTTTCTGCAGAGAGCAGCAGTCTGCACAGGAGTATCTGCATACAGAATACTGCTAATACTGTGAACTTGTTGCGGGAGTTAACACTGAGCTTCATGCTGAGGGTTGCAGGAAGGACATGGGTAGTAACAGCCGTGGACCAAAATGTCATCTCTCTCACCACATGCCAGATACCGGTGAGCACAGAAACAAACTTTGCTGTTTCATTTTCTTCTACAAGACCAAATCTCATTCCCTTATCTCATGCATACCTGCAAATGCAGCAGCAGCAGTTCTCCTTAACACAAATAAACAATGCCTTAAATACAGCACTTTTTGCACTTTATCCTCCATTTTTTCTTTTTTTTTTTTTTCCAAAAACTGACCATGTACTCTGCTCTGTACCTCCCAGAGAAATCTTTGTCTCTAAGCTCCACTCCTGTGAAGCCTTTCAAGCAAACCACTGTTCAAGAATCAGTCTTGGCAGTATCAAGATTGTACTGCCTGCCAAATGTCCCTCTGAATCAGATGCTTAACTGATCATCCTGAATCCTTCCTCATACATTTGGTTCTTTGCAACCACCAAAAAATGTTTCTGCAACTCTGAGCCTGGCAAACGAGAGGACGCCAGAAAGCCACTATTGCTTGTAAAAGCAGAAGGACTAACAGACTCAAAGTTTTGCAAACTCTGCATTGCATCCAAATCTGTCCAAGCTGAAGATAACCTAAGGGGAAAGCAAGGTTTAGTCATTTTCAAAATATTTCGTTTCCTTGGCTGCCTCTCTTCGCATACTACTTCTCATTTTGACTGTTTCATTCCTCTGTCTTCTTCACTTGAGACTTCAGACTTTCTTTAAACTCGGCTCACGGGCTGCAAGGAGGTCACTCTACATATGCTTCCAAAATCCACCTCTTCCCAACAAGGCTCCCGTCCTGCTATCCTTACCCTGCAGCACTGCACAACAGTGGTCCAGGGCTGCAGGTATCTCATGTGCATTTGGCCAGCCTTCTCTGTCAGATGGTTTCTCAAGCTTTGGGGATTACAGCCCCAGGTGCGTTATGAAGCAGCCCAGCAAGGTCTTGGAGTGTTGAAGACTTTGCTACAATCCAAAGCAAAGGATCTTCCTCCTCCTTTCCTTCCCTAC